TTTCTTTAAACCCAAGGCAGTGCCAGTTGTTTTCATATTGTATATCTCTACCCATGCTAATACAGTTAGTTACACTATCTTCCAGCAGAAGTAAATTAACTTATGTGGGTTTATACAGTCAGTTTGAGAACAAAAGTGGTCTACTGTGTTAAAAATTAAAACCTAACATTACTATAGATACTTCTCTTTCTTCTCCTATTCTGGTTCAACTTAATTTAATCTAGAGAGAATACCAAACTCAAACATTAGCAAATATATATCAAGATTGTAATAATTCTGGTCTAGACCTGGTCTAGCGAAATTTGTCCCTGCCTGCAGCAGGGGGTTGGAACTGGGCGATCTTTAAGGTCTTTTCCAACACAAACCATTCTGTGATTCTATGATTCAAAGATAACTCAGTATGGTCTTCCTCTGCATATGATCAAGCAAATAGTAAGATTAAAACACAACTGTCTTTTCCACCTCGTGCACATCATCACCATAAATTGAATGTTTTTCTCTACTGTTCAGCTCTGGCTGTAAGAGAAAGTCAGCAAGGTTAGCTAATATCTGAATCCTGATACACAGCTCAATAACTGGAAGCTGCAAATTTCCTGGGGTTTCCATGAATTCCAGTATGTTTCCCGTTACCTTGCTGCACAACATGGAATGTTCTGGTTACCGTCAGTAACAAAGGATTCTTACACCCACCACCACTTGCATCATCCTGTTGTGCACCAGCCCTGCTGCCCTCTGCGTGCTCTGGAAGCACAGCAGGGAGCTGCAGCACTTTCCAGTGCCTATCTTTCTCGGTTTGTTACACCATTCAGAGGGGAATGTATTGCTAGGCAGTAATCTTGAATTCATTCTTAATTTGATATAGATTAAGGTAAAAAGCAACTGAAGTACTTATTCATGAAGTTAAAAATAGGAAATAGAATAACAGAGGTTTATGTTCAACCTGAGAGAGGAAGTAGAAGAAAAACATTTATATTATGCATACTATTCACATTATTTCCACCTGATTTATATACTACCCTAGATGTCAGGACCTCTCTGGTCCTAGATATCTTATGCTCTTGTTACATCACTGGGAAATCCTTCTTTTTGATGCAGCATGTTAGCTTTTGTAGTCAGTTTCTTTAATAGCATTTGAAACCTTCCTGAAGAGGTCCAGTGAGACTCGATCTTATTCAACAAATGTTATTTACTTTTAATCCCAGAGATAATCTAGCTATTTGAAATTTAAATAAGCACAGTTTCATTTCTCAGAAGATATGCATGCCTGTCAGATCAGATGCCATCCCTTCTACTTGACTGAATGTATAATGGCTGCTTGCCTTAATAAAGGATGTATCTTGTCCCCTCATCCCTTTGCTAATTTTAATGTTTCACTATGAAGCGTTCCTCCATTGAACCTTAGCTCTGTGTCAGTCTTTCCACTAACAAAAACCATCTGACACAAATGCCTACATGAGGTAAATGTTATTTATTTCATTCTTGGGTTTTGACTGAAATCCGATGCTATGGTAAACTAACATTCTGGAAGATAATCCCCCACATATTTCCTCTATTTCTTTTAAGTAAGTGAAGAATTTGGACCCAGTTTCTAAATAAATCTAGCCTGACATGCCTGTATTGAATCTAGAGACTGAGGACGGGGGTAGATTGTATTTAAATTAACAAGTAATTGTATATGTGTATTTGTAGCTTACTGACCTTACTAACATGTATGAAAAAAAGTTTAGTCTGGCTTTGAAGTGTATGATTTTTGTTTTCTTTAGAAAAACCCCCAACATTTTAGGTCAAAACAAAAAAGGAGGGTTGGTGCCATATACAAATATTCATGTATTATTCAAATGAAACAGGTTGATGCCAATTATTTGTGAATCTGAGAGTTTTGGTCTGCTCCAACTATGCTGATCTCACTGGCTGAAGAATTAAATGAAATTTATGCATGTGAAAAATATGAATTCTCTATTTGTACCATAGTTGGTGTCTTGACAAAACCATTACAGTACTAAAAATTGCAAAAGAGTGGGTTTTTGACAGCTGAATCACTGACTGGAAACTATTCTTCTGGAAATATAAATATAATCAATGGTTTACTGTAAAAGACATTTCCCCAAAATAGCTAACAAAATGGACTGTTCAGAGACACTGCCATGAACTGAAGAACTTAGAAAACAGCTCTAATTTTTTCATTAGGCACTGTCTCTCCAGCTACTCGAATGAAGCAATAACTGAAGTTTCAAAGTAGGAATGTCTGCAATCCTGCTGAAAGAAACACGTAATCCCTCTCTAATTACAGCCCTGGAACTATCAGGAACAATCACTTTTGCTTGCTTCTCCTATTGTATTACTTAAATTTTAGCTATTGTTTAGAAAATACTGAAATTTCATCCTCAAAAGGGTGATTGGGGTGGGGGTGGTGATATATTACAGTACATTGACCATGGCCCTACAGCCCCCAGTGAGGTTCCCTCTAAAAAGGGGAATTGTGCAGTACCAGTTCATCGTCAGAAACAAGAAAACGTTACCCCCTTCCTTTCATCAGCTCCTCATTTTTAAATACTTTACAAATTTCCTGTGTTACAAACTCCAAACCAAATTCTCCACTAATATAAATACGCTAAACTTAGATCTCTTAACTTTCTTGACTTGCAAATTCCCCTCTTCAACTCCACGTCATATTTGCCATAAAGATTTAGCTCTCTAATACTATTTTTAAACTACCATTGGCCAGCTTGGATAAGCACATAAAACCAGCTACTAATCTTTCTGCTAAATCCTTCTGCATTTTCCATTCTCTGAAATTGAAAATATTTTTATTATAGTTGGGTAACAAAATGTTTTTCAATGTGTTAACTTTTCCTTACCAAGTATCATTAAAATAATTAAATCTAGCATCTCAAACTCACAGTGTCCTTTCAAATCCATGTTTGTTGTCATTTATCTCAATATAATACCATTAATTTATTGTCATTCCTCATCACATTTGGGTACCACTGTAATCTAATCTTAACATGAGGTCTACTGATGAAACGTGCATTAGTGTGTTAAGTGCTTGTATATTAAGTCAGCTTGCAGGTTATGCAGAAAACAGTGATCTCTCTGGCATGATCCCCTCCTAAGGGTTGTAGTTTACAGTTTGTACATAAATGCATCTCACACCCAAATTGCCAGGTTTATTCCACAAGTGGGTAATGGTTTGTTTGTTGTCCCATGAAGTATTCAGACACATCTGAGCAAATTCTTTGCACCTAGTGGACAGAATTTGACTTTTTATTTCCATGACCAAATGTGAACATTTTAAATGAGGTTGTGAGAATCAAAAGTCCTTCTGAAAACGGTAAAACTGCTAAAGGTGCAGGTATAAAAAATGTTCTTAAAAAGGCCTGAATCAGACTTGAGTCAAGAGAATTTGAATATATCTGATTTCAGGAAACTTTACTTTTTAATCACTTAATGTACTGTATGCAAACTGGATCACAGCTATAAGGCAGTGAAGGTGTCCTAATCACCTGAGCAAGTACTCTTTTGGAACTGAAATAAATGACAGTTAAATACAAGTGCGTTTGCTGTTATTTATTACCACCATCATAATTTCATTATTATAATTCATTATATCAAATCTGCTAACTGCATTATGACCCTTTGGATTGTAGTGAATGAATTATTCAGTTTTTCTTTGTTAATATTTATCAGTTATCGCAATTAGCTTCAGAATAGTTGGTAAGTAGCATGGCTCACAGATGAAACATTCCCTAAAAACAAGACACTGGAGCAGTCTGGTGCTCAGTGATACAATGAATGAATGGTAGCTAAAAGATACTAGCTCTGAGAGCTGCATGGTCCGCTCTTTCAGCTGATACTGCAGGATATAAACTGGAACAATGTGCTTGCAAGGGGTTCCCTGGAAGGGTGCAGGTGAGTGGTGCTTTGGTTAATTTATTTTGTATGGCTCTCTGACGATACACAGGGCATAACCGGCCAATAGCTCCTACCCAGACCTGAGCCACTCGTGTGTTTTAAGTTCTGCTTCCTCTGCTTCACAGTCTGTGGTGCTATGCAATACCCGTCTTGTCTCAGGGCTTCCAACCTGCCTTTGGATTCCTTCACTGGCTGCGTCGTGTATCACAGGCTTCATCTTCCCCATAAAACTTTGCAAACACAGCCCTTGCACACCTCTCCTTGAGAAGTGTGTCTCGTGTTCTTTTGCACCAGCACATTCTGCAGGCTCACCTCCCCGGTATTCATTAGTACAGTAAAGAAGTAAATGAAGTAAATCATCCACTGCCACGTTGAATGTTTTCTCTGGCTGCTTATTGATTTGCATTACTACAGCAAGCTCCAACACTGTAGGTGAGGCAGTGAACAGAGACTTAACAGTACAGTTGCTCAGAGAAGCTGTGGCTGCCCCATCGCTGGCAGTGTTCGAGGCCAGGCTGGATGGGGCGTTGAGCAGCCTGCTTCGGTGGAAGGTGTTCGTGCCTGTGCCAGGGGGCTGGAACCGGATGAGCTTTAAGGACCCTCCCAACTCAAACCATCCTGTGATTCTGTGGTAGCTGCCGAGAGGGCGGCAGCAGCACAACGGGGCAGGGGAGCGGGGGGGGCCCAGCGGACACGGTTAAAAGCGGAGCCGGTGCCAGCAGACCCTGTGTCTTGGCGCCACCTGCTGGAGCGCCACGGCCGCCGCTGGTCCGCGGGCGGGGCCGAGCATCGCTCGGCAGGAGGCGCGGCGGTGGCCGGGCGCCCCGCCCAACGCTGGGAGCCGTGGGGGAGCCCCGCCGCGGGCCCCGTCCCCGGGCGGGCAGCGGGGGCACCGCCTCAGCCTCTCGGCGGCAGCGACCGCGGCAACGGCCGAGCGCGAGGACCCGCTCCACCCCTTCTCAGGGTGTGTGCGCGCGTGCGTGTGTGTGACCGAGCGCGCGCCCGCGGGTGGCAAAGAGCGCGCACGCGCGGGGCAGCGCGGCCGGCTGTGGCGGCTGCGCACGAGGCGGCGGTGCCAGTTGCCCCGCCCCGCTTCGCCGCGTGAGGCGGGCCGCGTCCGCGCGCTGCGGTGGGATGTTCGTGGCGCGCAGCATTGCTGCGGATCACCGCGACCTCATCCACGATGTCTCCTTCGACTTCCACGGGCGGCGCATGGCCACGTGCTCCAGCGACCAGAGCGTCAAAGTGAGCGGCGGCTGCCGCCGCGCGCGGCCATGGCGGGTGTCGCGGCACGGCCGTGCGTGGCCTACCGGGGGCGGGGAGCGCAGGGATGGCGCTGCCAAGCTTGGGCGCAGCCGTTCCCTCGCGGCGGGCGCTGGCCTGCGGGCGGGAGGGGCCCGTACCGCCCCCCTCTCCGGACCCGGGGGGCAAAAGGCCGCGCTGTGCGCCGGCGTTCCGCCGTGGGAGCGGGCGGTCCCGCTGCGGTGTCACAGGGTGTCGGGCGGCTGTGGGACCGGGGCCAGCGCACCACGGTGCACGTTGTTTGTACGTGCGCGTATGGACAAGAGCGTGTAAACATACATATTCCGTTCCGACTCGTTGCTGCAAGGGGGGCGGAACGCGCTCGGACTGTTGTGGCTGCAGCAGCGCGGCTTGTTTTGTCCACTCAGCTGAAAGTCTGTGTTTATTTAAGGGCACTGAGGGAAGAAGCTGCAGTTTCATAATAAAGCGCTAGTAAGCCTTGTGACGGTGCCCTGCAAATTAGGGGGACTATAAAATAGTGGGAACCTTCATTTTGTATTCCTTTAGAGGGAAAACAAATAGTAAATGAGAGGTCAGTTGTTTTTCAAGAGTTTTTGCACCTAGTAAAGAGATGGACAAACGTTCAGGAGTTACACGGTTAGCTTTGATCAGTGTAATTTGCAGAGAGCAGCCATGTTTTTTGTTAGACTGGGTGAGTGGCTGAGAAAATCGCTTTTCTAGATAAAGAGGGGAGATTCAGATTAGAAATTAGGAGGAAATTCTTCACAGTATGAGAACGGTGAAGCACTGGCACAGGTTGCCCAGAGAAGCTGTGGGTGCCCCAATCCCTGGCAGTGTTCAGGCCAGGTTGGATGGGGCTTTGAGCAACCTGCTGTCGTGGAAGGTGTCCCTGCCCATGGCAGGGGGTTGGTACTGGATGATCTTTAAGGTCCCTTCCAACCCAAACATGCAAAATTTGTCAAATGTATATCAGCCTTAAAAAAAAGCAAGCAGCCCCTTCTTCCTGACCACATACTAAAAAGCAGACAACAAACCACCACCAACACAACTGTCCCCCAGAAAGTAAGTCAAAACCTTGTAAGTCTTTGGTCTGGGCTAACTATGTAAAACTTGTGGCCTAAAAAGAATGTTCTTAAGAGGTGCCAAGAGGTAGGTAGAACACAAAAATTATGTTCTTTAGCAGTGTAAGGTTACTTTCCAACAGTATCCTTCATGAGACTGTGTTAAGAAGTTTTACTCTAACACGAGTTTTATAACACTTGTAAGCAGCAGTGATATGTCTGGTGTAGGCCCCATTCTCACTAGGTGAGCCCTGCAGAAGAGGAGTTGGGGAGAAGTTACAGAGTTAGGCTGTGATGGCAACAGTCAAGGCTGTACTGCAGATCCAGACTGGCAAAAGTGAAGTGACTTGGTAATGTTATGTAGTGAGTGAGCAACACACAGCAGTGAATGCTGGGCTTCCAGAGGTGCCTTTCATCCGGTTACAGTCATGATTGCTTTCACAACTTCTCAGAAAACAATTTATGAAGAAGATAAAAGATGCATGGGAAATCAAGGGAAAGGGAGGTTAACTCGCCTGTGTGTGTTTACAAGTCAAGGCAGAAGTATTAGAAACAGACACATGAACTGTTCCCCCTGAGTTTTCTTTTCGCTCTCTTGCTCTGCCTTTGGGATGTTTGCCTGGAGCCACATCAGAGTTTCTGTGACCACGTCTCAGTATGTACTGAGATGAGGGCTCTTGTGCTCTAGAGAGAAACCAAGTAGTGTGCTCATGGAACAGAGGGAATGAAGTGCTGAGAATTGTCAGTTTGTCTTCTGTGACTAATGTATTCTTTAAAAAAGACTGCGTACAGGAGTGCATTTGGCAGGTGTGTGCCTCTTCTCCCTACCTGCTGTAGGGATATTTTCCAGGTTGAGTGCAGTTGTGTATGAGCCAGATAGAAATGTTCAGTGGTGTGTGTGTATACATATGTGTATGTGTGTGTATTTAATGGCTGTGTTTTGTGGTACTACTTAGTAAGCTTTATATACAGATTGTATGATTGTATTTTGATTTCTCAATAGGTCTGGGACAAAGGTGAAAATGGGGATTGGCACTGCACGGCCAGCTGGAAGGTTTGTATTTATACAATTTACACAGTTATAACCATAATCTCTCCTTGTTTTTTTAAAGAAACAGGCTTAGTTTTTTCTGACTTGGAGAGTATAAATATTTTTCTTGTAGATCCTGTATTTCTCATGATAAAATACTTTTTCTCTGCTTTTATAAAACAATCCTAATGCCTCTCACAGTCTTATATTATTAGTACTTTGTTGTGTTGGCAGACTTTGTTACCAACAACCATAGGCGTAACTGGTGTTTAAAGAGCAGGAAAACAGTACTTTGAGTTTTAATTGAATATTTGCTTTTTGCATATTGTAGGACTTAAAAAAAAATTAAAAAAGGACAGACAAAGAATAAAAAGGAAGAGGTCTGGCTATTATATGTTACAACATCAGACCTTTCTGCCCCAAAAAAAACCAGCTTTCTGGGAGCTGTGTCATATAGAGACTCTATTTCATCAGGATAATTAGTGCGTTCAGCTTCTGAACTGTCCTTAGCCTTGTATTTAATAGGATCACAATACAGTAATCCCTGTTAATGGAAATGCAAGTGAAGCGTTTGAATTCCCCTTCTCTAAAAACAGGCATTAGGTTAATGGCGTGAAAGAGGAGTTTCATGTAAATAAAGGAGGAGATAAGTGATGTTCTGCGTATGCTTCAGAGAAATGCAGGCAAGCTAGAAGTGAGCATGGTAAAGGCTGAAAATTGGAAACAAAGCTGTACCACTCATATCAAGAGAGAATCTTAGTTTGGAACTTAAGAGTTTGAAGGAGTAATAAGTAATGCCTTGAGATACACTTCTAATAATCCCTTTCTAACCATTAACTAATAACAACAAAACTTTGCAGTGCTTGTAGGAATAAACAAACGCCACAGCTGCTCTGTTAGCTTTGAACTTTACAAAAGAATGTGGGTATCAAAGGAATAGTCTTACTGCTTCCTAGGATTTACTTCTGCTTCTGCAGAAGGTCATAAAAAGACACGATCACTTGCACTAATACACAAAGTGTTTCCCTGTAATGTTTTGGTGTTATCTTGCAGACACATAGTGGATCTGTGTGGCGTGTGACATGGGCCCATCCTGAATTTGGGCAGGTCCTGGCTTCCTGCTCTTTTGATAGAACAGCAGCTGTATGGGAAGAAATAGTGGGAGAGTCAAATGATAAACTCCGAGGCCAGAGTCACTGGGTGAGACTTTAATGCATTAATTACGGTTTCTATGTGTTCTCATATAAACAGATTTATTATGCCTCATTGATTTATTTGCTTATTGTAACAGCTGAAGCTTTGCACTTGTTTAAATTCCAGAATTAAACAGAAGAGTGAACATGAAAGTTGTTCTAAATACCAAGTTACTTTCTGTTCCTGAAACAGGGAAAGCAGCCGGCTCCTGTCTCTTCATATAAAGCCTTGATGTTGCCAATGTTTTGTTACTTTGTGGCAGTATTCCAATATAGAGTAACTATTTTTAAAACATTTGAGGAAGACCTTAAATGGCTGCATTCAAGCTAATTAGTGACACTACTATTGGCCTTGCTTCATAAGATGTTCCCTGGTGAATAATATGCAGACATGAGTTTCCATCTACAGTAGCATTAAAGTTGTGGGGTATTTATTCTGTGAGAAGAGCTCATTTGAAACTGTCTCACGCTGTTCTTTTTCATCTTTCAAATGATAGGTCAGGCCATGGGAGGAAATAGTTTGCTGGGAAGTGGATTTTCTGGGTAGCATTTCATCAAAGGAATTACAGATCTAAACAGGTTATTTTGCAGCTATTCTTCATGCATAATCTTGTATAACTCAGTACACTATTCCTGCCTCTGATGTTTTGGTTTAGGTTGCTAAAATACCTGCAGCTTTCTACCTTCTTCTAAAGTTTTCTAACATTAAAACACATAGTTGTGAAGTGTTGGGTTGTCGGGACCTTTGGCACCCAGTGGGGTATGAAGGTTGACTACCATGTGTACGAGGCAGTTGTGATACATAGTTTTCAGCTCAAACTCATGTTTGCTTGGCGGAAGAGACAGCTGGAAAAACACATTTACAGTTTTTTCCTCTTCAACCCTGGCTAACCTTTCTATCAACTGTCTGCTGTATTTACCCATGCCCTTATCAGAAATACTTGTTTTGATGCTTCTGTTGGACAGTACTTCATGGTAAACTTCAGCAGCACTGATGAAATTAGAAAGTGGCGCTCCTGCAGTTAATATAGTCACCAGTAAGAACGAACAGGACAGTTTCAAACTGCCTGTGGCCAATACTCTTATTTTATGCTTGTGTTATGTGGTTGTTGTGGTTTTTGGATTGCTTTTTTTCTTTCCTGAAGAACATAATCTGAACAACTTTCTGGTACCAGAACTTTGATACCATCGCAAGTATATCTCTTGATGCTTGAAACGGCATCGGTGCAATGATCTGTCATATCTCCAGTTCATTGGTGTATAAAAATAGTTTTTTTTTTGTTTAGTTCTTGGTGGAAGAAATAAGTGATCCTATGAAATGGTGTTGTCAGACTTTCATTAGCCTTCCTTAGGGAATAAATATTTGATGGGAATTTCTAGCATTTCCTTCAAGACTGTCTACCTTTTTTTTTTTTTGCAGGTAAAGAGGACCACTCTAGTAGACAGTAGGACATCTGTTACAGATGTGAAGTTTGCTCCCAAGCATATGGGTCTTATGTTAGCAACCTGTTCAGCAGATGGTGTTGTAAGGATTTATGAAGCTCCAGATGTGATGAATCTCAGTCAGTGGTCACTGCAGCATGAAATCTCATGTAAGCTAAGCTGCAGTTGTATTTCTTGGAATCCCTCAAGGTACGTCATTAAAACTGTAGGTTTTGCTTTGTGACTGTTTAAGCAGAAGATCCAAAGAGCTAGTCTTGAAATTTTGTAGAATTAATCATAAAACATGCATGGAGAAGACTGAGCTTATATTACTTGGATCCGAAAGAAAGCTGCTAACGTTTATTTTAATAAAGCAAGTTTGTTAGAGCCAGAGAAGTATTACAAGAAATCCCCTGTGATCTGTGAGGAAATATTCCCAGCTTAATTATTTTTAGCAAGTAAGCTAGCATTCTTTATTTATCACACAAAACTTAAGTGGGATTTTCATAAGAGCAAGTGTTTATAATGGGACAATTCCTATCTCTTTCTTCCTTAATCAAGGCATTGCAATAGGTAATAATTTTGACAGCTCTAGTAAGGACATGCACCTTTGCCAGTGTGAGAGTACTAGGAACCACAAGATATATGGCACAAATATAAAGCCTAAGAGTTGTTCTTTTAGTTCTATCCCCAGGGGCTCAATGATACACTTAACCTTCTTGAACAGAAAGGAATCACAGAGGAGTTCGGTTGGGTAGTCCCCACCCAGAAAAATAGGAATATGCAAAAATTCTCCTTTGCTTTCCATCTTGCATTCTCCCCCAGCAGTAACAGGAAGGGAATAACCATTCAGGGCTGAACTGCTTTGGATTGTGTTTGTCCAGAGGCACTTAATGGCCTTCCCTGTAGACATAGTGGGCTGTGTCCTGCTGATGCAGTTATTCTTCTGTTCATTAGTAGTCACCTGTGCTGAGGGTTCAGAGTACAGGCTATCACTTTAGTGCATGGGAGGGACCTAAGAGTTGGTTTAAAAACTAGAGCTCATCTATATTTAGCTTTTATAATCTTCCAAAACCGTAATGAAATCCCAGAAAACCAGTCATTAAAAGTAGTGCAGAGAATTCAGTCTCTGCCGTGAAACTTGTGACAAATACTTGGCTGCAGCTATGTATATAAAATCAGTTCTACCCTGGGAGCATCATTTTGAATTGCCAAATAATGTTCCTTTATGATTTTACCCTAGTGGGTGTATAAAATGGAACTACTTATGCTCCTTGTGATTTCCCTGTGTTGTGATTTATTTTTTTTGTTGTTGTAACTGTTCTGTTTTCTTTCTAGATAATATGTCTGAAATTTAAGAAAACTGGCTTGGGGTACTTTCTGTGGAATCATTTGTAAATATAACTATTTTTACTTTTTAGTTCTCGAGCACATTCTCCAATGATAGCTGTAGGAAGTGATGACAACAGTCCAAATATATTGGCTAAGGTTCAAATTTATGAATATAACGAAAACACCAGGTATGCTAAATCACAGTGTATAACATTTGCGTAATCTTAAAGTAGTTTGTAATATATGACCTTCTATTCTTGTCATTAGATGTGGAGTAGTAAATAGTAATACCTTGATTCTGTCTCTGAGCCATTGGATGGGAGAGGGATACCTCAGAATGGTAACTGGTGTTAACAGATACTGATAATTTTATCTTGTCTCAGAATTCTTTTCAGCATTTTAAAGGGAGAGTTGTTTCTGCTTCTGCTAATTTATATGCTTAATTTTTCAGAAGGAATTAATAGGGCAAAGTTGAAATTTGCATTATGTTGCACAAGACCCTGTTTTATTCAAGGCGACCTTAAAATGCATGTTTATACTGACATACTGTCTTGTGGATTTACTAGTGTTCTGTCATAGTTCAGTTTGTGCAGTTAGGAGTTCAGAACCAGGAAAGGTCAAGAAGTGTGTGCACAACCAATTTTGATTAAATGATGACAGAGAACTTGTGTTTCACTCAGGGTGATTGGTGTGGGAAAGGAGCCAAGGTGTTTTGTGCATTTGTGCCTGGCTTCAGACAATGTTCTCTGTGCATTAACGGTAAAAAAGAGTTCTTGTAATTTACCTGGTGGTAAATAAGAAAATGGAATACATGTTTACCGTACAGCGCAGGAGGCCAATAGTGGTCTGCTTACAAGTACAGAAAATACAGTAAGTTGAGATACGAATTCCCCTTAGATTTGTGAATGGAAGAATATTTCCCTTTTCCAGCTCTAGATAAAAAAGTTCTTTCTACTGGAATCCTTGTTTTGTTGTATGATTTAGCATACTGTTTGTAGTTATTGTGTCTGATGTCTTCAATTTCTGAAGAAATCAGCGTGTAATTATTACTTAAATTTATTTTAAGAAAATGTTAGTTTTGCAAGTCTCATCATGTATACTAAGCCCTTTTTCCTTGTTTCACTCTGGTTTATATAATTTGTATTACTGGCAATTTTCATGGTATTAAAGGTTCATTTCTTATGCTGTACAGGAAATACGCCAAAGCAGAAGCTCTGATGACAGTCACAGATCCTGTACATGATATTGCCTTTGCTCCAAATCTTGGAAGATCCTTCCACATCTTAGCTGTGGCAACCAAAGATGTCCGAATTTTCACACTAAAACCTCTAAGGTGAGTTCAAAAGGAAGATGGTTTGGTATGATGTGGTGCATACTATATAGTCTTCGTTAACAGTGTCTGTGAAGCAAAAGTAGTAATCTGTGCAGGATTGTTTTAGCAGCCTGATTTTTAAGATTACAAGATTGTGAGCAAGTCTATAGTAGTGTCTGAATACCTCCTAACACTCCTAATTTAGTAACGATTGTAATATAAATCCCCTTGAAAGACGTCCTCTTTTTGCCATCATGTTCAAGCCCCCATCTTTGAACAGTTGTGTGCAGAACTGTCACTTTTCTTTTAAACAGGAAAGAATTGACTTCATCTGGAGGATTAACAAAATTTGAAATTCATATTGTGGCCCAGTTTGATAATCATAACTCCCAGGTGTGGCGAGTGAGCTGGAATATTACAGGCACAGTGCTTGCTTCCTCTGGTGACGATGGCTGTGTCAGGCTCTGGAAGGGTAAGAGCACTATCTGAAATACATGAGCTTTAATAGACTTGAAAAATTTTACTCCAAAATAATATTGTAGTAAAAGTTCATTCTAGATTTGTGAATGATAGCTTTTCATATTTCTAAATAACTTTCTGTGCTGGAACATCTGCATGATTTAGGCTGCTGTGAATTGTTGTTACTGTACCCTCATACTGTTTTACCAGATTAGAGCTATGTAAAGTTATAATTTCTAAAGTTACTGTATGTACTGCATTATTATCTTTGCTTGCTGCCAAACCCAGAAAACCTACATTTAGTCACGGTGTTCAGTCATACTGACTTTTTTCTGTTTAAATTTCCAAAAGCAACAGCAAACAACAGTGGCAGTTTCCTCATCAGTTCTCTTTTGTTTCTCAGTATTTTAAAAAGGAAATTCATTCTTGCTACTGAACAAAACTGAGCTTGAAATCATGGGTAGGCAGAGAATGTCAGACAGCTGAAACATCATAGTTGTACCAAAAGCTGAGCTTCAGAAGAGAAACTAACAGTGTTTATGTATCTGCATTTGCAGCTAATTACATGGACAACTGGAAGTGTACTGGTATACTGAAAGGTAACGGGAGTCCAGTGAATGGTAGTTCTCAGCAGGGAATTTTTAATGCCTCTCTAGGTTCTGCCAATACAAGTCTACAGAATTCACTAAATGGATCATCTGCCAGCAGGTAGGTTCATTAGTAGGGAGAATGAATTTCCGCAAGTAGTTTCTGAATCTTCCTAATTTCATTTAGCTTTCATGTTTGTTTTACAATAGTTGTTTTTTTGGTTTTTTGTTTTTTTTCAAGTGCAATGTAATTTATATGAATACTTCTACAAGCTTTTCTGGTTTTGCTCTGTGATGGTGTCTGCTATGCCAGTGTTAAGAGGAAAACGAACAAAACTGTAAGCCATACTGAATCAAGGAGAAACTTCATCATACCACTGTGTGACTTCCCTGTTGTTTCTGATAGGTGTTTAAAAGTGAAGCAGCCACCAGCAACAAATTCTGCTTTTCACTGGGATAATGTAGCAGAAAGGAAGGAGGAAAACATGGTTCTTCATGTAGGGTTTCAACAATCATATGCTAGTGTTGGTGTACTTGCATTTTTGCAGGTGTAACATCATAGAATAGGGTTGGAAAGGACCTTAAGATCATCAAGTTCCAACCCCCCTGCCATGGGCAGGGACACCTCACACTAAACCATGTCAGTTGATAAAAGTTTGGGTGTGGTTTTTTTTTTTTTTCTTCCTCATGGCATTCTTATTGCAGATTAATTTGCTTTCTCGAGTTTACTCTGTAATAATTGCTGTTTAATAGGTAAATTGAACTGCCTCTTCTGAATACCATTTTAATTTGTTCACATCACAATCTAAAAATACACTGAGCCCTGCATTTGTGTGGCGGAGTGTGTACATCAACTTTACAGGATGTGTCCTTATGTAAGGACTAGATCTGGCCAAATTTAATAGCAGCAGCTTCCAAGTCTTGCGGCCAACTTTATTTACTTACATTTTCTTCCCAAAGCCTTGCAATAACCTGCATTACCATCCATATGCAGCTACTGATTGGGCTTTTTACAGTTTAAATTGCTGACCTGTTAGGTACTATGACAGTTTGCTTTTGGAGAGTAGAAGTCTTTGCCCCACCTCTTCCAGCAGTCAATCCTGAATGGCAGTTCTGGCTTCCAGATTCCTGGCTGCACTGAGCAGGGAAGGGTTTTCACATTTTCCCCACAAGATAAATGGGAGAGCAAGAGGTGGTAATGGGCTAAGTCCTTAGCAAGAAGGGAGGCAAAAAAATGCTGAAATGCAGTCCTGTCTTGGAAATGTGTCATCCAAACCTATGTAACTGTATTTCCTTGAGCTCCTATAGGGAGATACTGACTATTTTATACCTCTTTAACAGAGGGTGGGGTTTCACAGTCTCCTTACCTAAGACTGTGGTGCTTCCAGCAATGCTACCCTACCCTACCTACCCCACTGGCTGGTGTTCTCCTCTCCCTGGAGTTGGTAGTAAGCCTTTGTGAAACTGAAACTTCCAGTATTATTTTAGACTTCTTCTATTGCTCTTTATTTTGAAAGTGTTTGTTTTTTCTTTATTTTGTTTTCTTTGCTTTTTAATAGATAGTTCTCGGCTCCAATTTGGAATTAACGTTTTATTACAGAATTCAGTCTGTGGCTGTGGAATTTCAAAACATACGGTGTCTTGTCCTAGGATTGAGCCTTGCTGTAAAAATTACAGTTATATGTTTTCTTTTGTAATCACTTTGGCTTGAACTGCGTAAGCACAGTTGCTAACTTGTGGTTTAGTGTGTTAACACCTATAGTAAAGATTTCTGTGCTGACATTTGGCTAAATTGATATGCTACACAGAATTTATTTTGTCTGTGATTGTAAATAGTATGTTTCAGTGTCTATATTTAAACATTTAAACAAGTTAAGCATAGGCAGAACTGGAAAACTGTAAAGTACAATCAACAAACTGGAGTTGTAATCAAAACAGTTTCATAACAAATGATGTAGACTGTTGGAAAATAGCTCAGAAGGGCTGTATTGTTATGTTGATGTAATTGTGTGTCTAGATTTATGATACAATTTCCATTCTCCATTTGTATTATGTCCTTTTTAACAGAAAGCAGAGCTGATACCAAGCTAACTGGAGTAACTTTGGTGTTTTGCTGCTTGTTGCATGCACACAGGAATGGAAACCGAACTCCTTTTTCCCCTCCCCAACGCCGTTTGACCTCTCCCAAGACACCAGCACCTGCTAACTACTAAATGCTATTCAGAAAGCCTTTTTAAAACACCTCGTGTACGTTTTTTGTACTAGGCTGTACAGTTTGATACTGTTGGAACTCCTGATAGAAAAATACATGGAGAGGCTTCTTGTTTGGAAAAAAAACCCACAACCAAGCAACCCAAACCCAAAACTTCCATCTAAACTATTTTTTTTTTTTGAAGCTTGTCAAATTAAAAGGCTAGTTCATAACTAAAAAAATCAGAAATTTTGTCCTTGATTGGGATGGGAGGAGGGAAGTAACTGTTAAAGTAATTTTTGTTAAAATTGTTTTGAGAAATAATCTGTTTTGCATTTCATAGTGTTCAGCATTTGATTAAGATTCCTAAACATGACAAGTTTGTAACTGCTATGTAATATATGCAACTGTTAGTTTGAAAGGATTAAGAAAATTGTGTTTTGACAACTGTACAGATGGTAGCTTTTAATAGTTTGGTATTGCTTCATTTGTACCTTAGTATGACTTCAAATAAATGTTCTGTAAGTACTGTCATACTTTACTTATCCTAAGAAAAGTACTCTTTCTGATACGTATTTGTACGTTCCTATGGTAGTAATTCCATGGAGTAACTGCAATTCTCTAAACATAGTATCCTAAAAACGGCAAACACTTGAGCCATACAAAGACTGAAACCAAAATGCAGCTTTTTGTGAATTGCCCCATAATTTCATTAATCACACAGCTGTTCCTTTATGTAAGTCTGCAGAACTGTAAACAAGACAGAAAACATCTGTAGGTATGTGGTTATACTAAAATACACGAGCATTACGGGTAAGTTCTAATAAAAACAGCAGAAAAATGACATGAAATGGCAGAATTCCAAGTCTTGCATTCACCAAGAATCTGAAATTTCCTGTGAGGATTTTGCAGAATATGTAAATACATGCAAAGACTGTATCTCACTGAAAGTAGTTATTCTCTGTAAATGTATATTACAAAATTTAAAGTATTGTAAAAACAATGATGTTTTTACGTCTATCCAGAAGTGCTGTGAAGTTAATCTGAATTAGATCCATATGCAGAAAATGTACCTAGACAATATTTAATGTATACTTTGTGTCGCAAATGAAGCGTTACTAAAAGCTCTGTTACAAAATCGCAAGAATTATGGGAGAATGAAAGCCTGTTCATAGCTGTGCTACACCATCCTTTTGATTTCCAAAGCAGTCTGTTCTGTATAAATGTATACTAGGGTTATTATTACGGTATTTTTTTTTTCTATGAATTTCAGTGGGAAAAGACTGTATTATTTTCCTTTAAAGAGCAGTTTCCAGATTTGTCTTGTTTTGAATTACAAGCCTTGATTTCTGCTATTATGTTCTATTGGTTTTGGCATGGATATATACTAAAGCCTTTTGGTTTGGTTTTATTTTTTCCAGCATGTGTTCTCCCCTTTGGTTCTCCTTGTATTTACTACCTTTCTCTTTTTCTTGTTTTGTTTTTGTTTGTTTTGTTTTTGTTTTGGTGTTTTGTTCCTTTCTTAATTGTTTCAGGTATTTCTTTCCCCCTCTGGATTCCCCACGGGCTGGATCGAGATGGTCCAGTCATGCCCAGCTCCTTCCTCCTCCTCCTCTGATAGAGCACTCTTGCGATGCTGACACTGCCAACCTCCAGTATCCTCACCCTCGCAGACGATGTGTATCTCGGCCTCTTAATCTATTACCTGAGAATGAAGGGGTTTAACATGTTACTTTAAACTCTGGGCCTTATTCTGGTGTTTGTGAATGCTTCCATTTCTAGCTGCCTTCGTATTTCTTCTCATGTACAGAAGATTTAAAAAAACTTGGGGGCTTTGCGCATGTTTTGCAAACCAAACTACAATGTTTGGACCATGTTAATTATGTATCAAAGAAACATTTTGATCTGTACCCTTTGAACTATGGCAACACATACAAACAGTATTAGCCATGAGCTATTTATGGAGTAGCTGACTTCATGTGCCTTTTTTTTTTCTTTGTCTTTTTTTTTTTTTTTTTTAATCAGCTCAGTATGGGTTGATTTTTTTTTTTTCCTTTTTGTATATTGCACCAACAAATGTGAAATATATTCATAGATTCTCAAAATTAAACATGCCTTCAAGAAATTCTTGAGAACTAAAGGATGATAACTGGATCACCTCACAAAAGCAAAACCGTTCCTGTGTATACTGCAGCAAAATAATTTGGAGTGTTTGGTTACTTAAAAATTTTCCATCTTGCTGTATAAATATTTAAATTTTATAATTGTGATTGATTAATAAAGTTATTCTAAAAGGTCTTTATTAGCATGCTTTTTCTTGCAATAGGTTTTTTTTGTGTTTTGTTTTTTTTTTTTAACAGGCTTCTGATCAAGGAGATTTTTTGATTCAGGTGCCTATTCTCATAGCTTTGCTGTCAGGAAGTCATCTGCCATTCTGTATATGGAGTTGCATATAACATTTTTCTGCCACAGGCTGTGCTCTTGCCTTTTCTCATGGGTGTGTTGAAGATGTGCAGGTACTACTAGAGGGGTTGGATTTCAAATTACCTCATAATTCTTTTCCAGTAATTGAATAATTCACTTCGGACCAATATTGTGAAGAAATAGTACTGACTTAAAAAGATGCCTTTTTTTTGATGTGTCGGCACAGGAGCTGCGAGTCAGCGTGATGGCACTGCCTAAAGGTTTGGCTGCCACAAGACAAAACGAGAGGATGAAACTGGACAGCAATTACATGGTATGGCTGGGGAGTAGCATTACTGTGCAGGCTGAAATTGCTGAGCTTGTTCAGCAGATTGTAGTGGGAGGAGGCATAAAGGTGGGCTCTCTGTAGCAGAAATCCAAAGTATATTGTCTTTCAGTGTGCTTCAACACACATTGGAACAGGTTGCCCAGAGAAGTTGGGGGTGCCCCATCCAAGGACAGGTTTCGTCTTAAACCTTTAAAAGGTCACTTCCTCCCTTCAACACAGCAATTGATCTTACTGCACTCGTCCAGTAAGAAAAAATGGTGTTCCTTCCTAAGCAACTACCAAGAAAACCAAGGTGGCTGCTGTTTCACAATTGTAAAAGTTTGTGCTATGAGACCCTACAGTGTCTGTTGGGTGTACCTCCATTACTGCAGTGTAACAAAAAAATAGGAAAATCTATTCAAAGACAATTTTTTACATATTCTTGATGTATATGCCAGATCAAAAAAGGGAAAGATTCCTGCTTGCCTTTCTTCCCCCTCCTTTAAATTTGCTTCCATTACTCCTTTGGAGCCCAGAATATAACCTGTTGTGATAATAAAAAGCTGCAAAAAGTTAGATTTAATGCATTTGTTTATAGTTAGTTCAGCACGGTCACATTATTTTCCTCTGTGCTGAACATGTATTATTATTATAAGATATCCCAACGAATTCCAGTCACACTTCTTAATAATGGAAACATTCTATTACAGTTCCAGTGAAAACAAGTCCCATTTCAACACGCTGGCCAAGTAGCTTAACTTCAATAATTGAACTTAGGCTGGTTTTGTGGCTGATGCTTGCCATTCCCTTGCCTGCCATTTTTCATTGATGTCTCTCCAAACTAGGACTTGTCACTCCATACTCATCTGTTTCCTCAAACTCACACTTCACTCTTGCTCCCATGACTCCAGATTGTGAACTGTACTGTGCAGGATCTGGGCCCTCGAACCATTAGAAGGGAGGGAGACTGTAGAAGGGCTTAGAAAGGCATGATTACAGCAGGTACTTGCAGTACTTTAAATTCATCTAGCATTCCGTAAGGCTGCTGTCCCTCTTCTGAAAGAAGATGATATACATTATGCTGTATATGTTACGTGTTCGGAGCACATCTCAGTCTGAAATTCCAGGACTACACATTTTTGGGTCTTATAGTAGCCAGGAGGTGACTTTTCCTTTTTGGTGTGTTTTTTTAAATTATTTTTTTTTATTTTTTTTATTTTGAACATATTTGAACACAGTATGAAGTTCTGTTGGTATTGAATGTGTGACTTTTCACTTTCATTCGAGGTTTATGCAACCTCCATACCAGGAATGCAGCTGTAGAAGTGAACTGTAAAAAAGTCCTGGAGTAACACTGAATTTGATTCAGGTCTTTTGAAGTCATCATATGCACATACACGTATGTTTGGAAGGCATCTTCTCATGCTCTACTTTAAACAGCACATTTATGCTTCAAAACTGAAATAAATTTTTCCATGTACTGTATATAAATGTATATTGCCCAACCTCATCTAAGTGACTCATATTGCAACAATAGGATAGAAAATAGTAATATAAACAGCACCATTCATATGTATAACAAAAATCAGTTCTAGTCAGATTTACTTCTATTTTACACGGCTGCGCCCTGACCAGGGGAGGCCGGTCAGCCACCACCGGCAGCACACCTCAGCAGCCGCAGCTCCCCTGGAAGGCCCTGAGTTACCGCTACGGGGATTCAAACCTCGCCGCTCAGTAAGAAAATACCTGAAATGATCGCTCCCTTCCGACAGCCCGCCCTGCCAGGCGCTACCACAGCGCTACCGGTATCCGGGACAACCCCTCCGCCTCCCCTCATTCGGAGAGCCGAGCGGCGGCGCTGCGCACGCGCCCCGCGCTAAGGGTCGGTCCGAGGCGCGGGGAGGGGGAGCGCGTGTGCTGTTGTTCCTGCTGCGCGCCAGGTGAGCGGGGCTGGCAGGGCCCGCCCGCCGCTGGGGGGCGCTGCGCGGCGCAAGGCGGGAGAAGCGGGACTGGAGGGCGGGAGCGGGACGGCGCGTGCGGGAGAGGGGCGCGGCCGTTTGAAGTGGCGGCGGTTGGGCCGCGGTGCCGTTTTCTCAGGCGAGTAGCGGCGGGACGCGGGCAGGGGAACGGGGCGTGGCGGGAAAGGGGTCCTTGGCTTCGAGCCGCTCCTCTTCCCTGCTTGCGCGGCGGAGACTGGCGGCGGTGGCGCCCCCTCTCACTCAGGTGGAGCTGTTGTGGCGCTTCGGGCCGCGGCGGGTGGTGGTAGAAGTGGTCGCGGTGCCTGAAGGGACCGCTGAGGCGGGGGGAGGGCCCGGGCCTTCAGTGTTGAGATCTGCAGCGTTTTGCTGCCGCCTGCCAGGTGATCGCGTCACGGAGCGTGTAGCTGCCCAGGTGGTCGCTGCTGTAGAAATGGAGGAAGCGTCTCTCGGTCTGAGCAGCTTTACGAACTAAATATAGATTGGCACGTCTTGGGGCGTCGGTATTCTTAACTTGCAGGAGTACTTACTGCGCCTTTTAGAAACCCCGAGGAAGTTATAAAACTCTGCCCCCTAAACGGCTTGGTAGGAGAGGATTGGAAGTGATTTTTAAGCATGCTTGTGGATAAAGCGGGGTGATTGCCAAAGACCGCTGGCTGTGATGTATAACTAACGTATTTTTGACAGCACTACTGTGGCTTGTGTAACTGTACAGTTGCTTTGTTCCTTCTTTCAGATGCTGCTGGACCGGGGCTGATCATGTTGCCAGGCAGAGTGCTATTTTAAGCAACTTGTGCAGGATGATGGAAAACTTCAGAAATATTGCCGATGAGACATTTCCAAGCTTCTTGGGCCATTCACTGAATAGCAGTGCAAGTGTCATTCTTGAAAATGTTACGGTTTCCTCAAACCCTGGCTTACCTGTTGCAGCTTCAACTGTTGCCAGGCGTAAAACAGGCTGTGAGAACAGGTGAGACTGTCAATACTGATTGATAATATAAAAAACCCCAGCTGACTGGTTTGAAACACGAAGTTGCGGCTGTTAATGTTCAAGGCCAGGCTGGATGAGGCTTGGAGCAACCTGGTCTAGTGGAAGGTGTCCCTGCCTGTGGCAGGGGGTTGGGACTGGATGATCCCTAAGGTCTCTTCCAACCTAAGCTGTTCTATGATTTAACTTTGGAAAAGAAAAATTCTGACGGATTATTTGGTAGATGATAAAACTATTTACTAATCAGTGGCATACTAATCAGCAAACACAGGATTGACTCTATTAGCAGTGAAGAATCTGCATTAAATTCATAATTCATGAAATACTTTTATTGACTTGCGCTTTAAAAGAGTAACTTGTTTCTGGACTAATGAGATAATAATCAGGTTTATTTTTGCTGGACTCTTCAGCTTAGTATATTCAAGTTTGAAGTTATGTAGAGAGCAATATATTTTTTATGTATGTGCTCTCTTTACTCTGTTGACTTTTCATTTAGCTTACCTGAATCTGACTAATTTTAGATGGGTAATGTGAGAACTAGTGTTATGGATATGAATTGAAGTTTAGCACAATTTATAATGGTTTGTTCAGCAAGGAGTAGAGCGAAGGGTAATACTTAGAAGCCTTTGCTCATTTAAGTGCTGTCCTATGACTTAACAAGAACTAAAATCAGACTTTTGTACCATGACTTTCCAGAAGTGCGTGTTCCAAATGGGATAGCATTAGCCACTAAAAATGATAATGTGGTATTTCTCTAAAGAAAGAAGACTGAAGAGAGGATCCTTCTCCTTTCTACAGGAGACTGGAGAGGGTCATTCTGGATACATATTTATACCTGTAAATACATATTGTCTAGAAAAATGCTAAAATATCCAAATAATTGAACTTATAGGAGATGGGTGGGCATTGATATGTTTGTTTGTTTGTTTTTTCTCTGGTTCTTTGAAAACAGGAGCAGTGCATATTAAAGTGATTCTGTTGTATATTTTTCCTCCCCACCTTTACAGGCTTTCTGATATCTCTGCATCCTACTTAGAAGGGAAACCATCACCTCCATTAGGATCTCCTCACAGTAGTCAGTCAGATCTTGAGCCACTGGGGAGATTTGCCCTCGGCTTTTGTGATGACACGTAAGTGAGATAGTTAAAATCTATTTCTGTTCTGAAATGCACATACTAGTATGTGATTTATATGTACTATAAGCTAATTACGGAATACTTCAGAATTTAATTGCCCACTTCAGCAGCGGCTTCTGTTGGCCTTTTGATGCAGTAAGTGGAGAGCTCAGCTGTATTATCCTGTTAGCTTACAGTGTTTGGCAGCTTGGGCAGCTTTTCCTACTAAACCAGCTCCTCCATGACTTCTGAAGAGGAATGGTGGCAGACTGTGTGGAAGCATCCTGTGCAGCACTACCCCTTAACCTGCACAGCCCTACATTAACATTGTGCTGCTGTTCAATTGGCTAATTTGGCTTCATGTATATGACAGGAATGAATCTTTAGAAGGGATTTGTTTTTTTTTGTTAAACTATGATGATTTGTTTTGTTGTCACACTAAGTAAAAATTGACTGACTTGAACCTGGCTTGTCTTTACCTAGTTTAC